GCAGAAGTTGGTTTTGTTATTGTATCTTTTAATGGGCTGTTCATTCTATCTTAGTTTTGGCTGGAGTTTTTGCTTTAAAAAGTAATAAAGAACTCTTCTAGACACTTTTCAGATCTGAAATGATCACATTACCACAAAACAATTTTAGAAAACCATCTGTGAAAAATTCTGTTTACGGATGAGGTCTTGGTTTCTCGTTATATACAGTATATGTGGAAGAACTGAAGGCCTATGTCCAGCCAAATGTTTACTTTTTCTACGTTTTGGAGAGAGTGTAGGAAAGAATTAAAATGTATATCAGGTACTAATGTCTGTGTTCTCTCTAGGGAGATTTTCCCAGTGTGTTTTTGTGTTTTGCCTGTCATTACTTGAGAAATTTTAACAGAATATGGACACAAATGATAGAAGGAAAGGCACAATACAACTAAAAGCCCTTGGCACTTCAAAAATGTATTTGTCACTACATCGGTTGCAATCACTTTGTAAATACCTTTATCTTAGTATAATACTCTCTCACAGCAACATTGAATCAAACGCATAGCCAATTTACTGCATGCAAATAAAATAAAACACACTGGTAACATCGTGCAATGTTACTGTTATGCAGAACTCTTTTGGTCACAAGATGACAGTGTCCCGCAACTTAGTTATCACACATTTAATTCAGAAAGGCTGGGGACTCTGGGACTTGTATGCTGTAAGCAGGAAGATTTTTTGATCCAGATCAGCTGGAGCTGAACTACACCGCCCATGAGGACTGGCAAAGGGGTGGGAGCATTTAAAAAGGGAAATGCCTGGGAACACAGGGGAAGAAGATGGGGAGAGACTGGGTTGAAGGCCGGATGTGAAAGAAAGTGGATCCACGTGGCCCCAGGCTGGATCGGGCCAAGCCAGGAAGTCGCAAATACCACCAAAGAAGCTGATCATCCTGAGGAGGCAGGTAGTGGAACCTGCAGGCAGACAGACCCTGTCATCGCCACCTTATCTCAGAGGAGGACAAAGGTGACCCCCTCCACACAGAAGGTCATTGCTTTGCCCAGCTTCACTGTGGAACTGGTTGAGAGGGTTCTTAACCCACACAACGCTACCATTGCACTCACGCCTGTTTGCATCCTGTTGCTAGAGACTTGCTAGAGACTAGAACAGTTTACAGTACAGGCCTATATCTTTAGGCACAGACACTAAAACCCATCCGGTGCTGAAGGCTAACCTCTTTACTGCCTTCAACAACACTAACTTCAGGATACCAGGATTCACCTCTTTGCTTCTCTGCTAGGCAGTAATTTCACACACACCTCACTTCAGACTTGAGCCATCCAAGTAAGAAATTAGTTGGTTCCATTTAAAGGGACATACTCTGTGTGGAATCTGTTTCCCCTTCTTTCCAAAGCAATTTTAGTGATACCCCACCTTAATCCGACATCCCTAAAGTGATATTTCACCTTAATCTGACATCCTTCAAGTGATACACTACCCTACCAGTGTTTGTTGTCATTTTACCATCCTTTGGGCAATTAAGTTTTCTTTAAAGAGAATACATCTTAACTGTGCACCAACGTAAGGGCCCCAACTAGCCAGCAGAAGAGTTATTCATGTGCTTGGGGTATCTGCTAAGAATTTACTTCCCTACATTCCTGAGATTTAAACCTTGAATCTTTTCTCTGAGAACCTGCAAGTTAGCTAGCCCAGTATTTGTTCTTTCTCATCTTATTTACTCACTTAGAGAAAATTTTTCAGTTTGGGAGTTGGCGTTTAAATCGAGTGGCTTAAAGTGGTACTGTATTGTCATATTGCCTTTAACTGTTGGTGTTTTGCCATTTGAAAGACTCAGCCAATTGTTTTCTTTTGCCTGTTTTGCCATTTCTGTGACACTAACACAAGTTAAACATTTATCTCATCAGTGTACAAATTTATCCTTTGTGTGACAATCAGGGAGTACCCTGTCCCAGGCATTTCAGTGGTGTCCGCAGGGGCAATACTCTGCTCAGGGCGGCTCAGTAGTGAACAGTGTACCCAAAATACTCAGTGGCTCCTAAGGTGGTAGCGCTACACACATTAAATCAATAAAACAATACATACAACAGTGGGCAGCACAGTGGCTCAATGGTTAGCACTTCCGCCTGGCAGTACTAGGGTCGTTGGTCCGAATCCCAGCCACGGCACCTCCTGTCTGGAGTTTGCATGTTCTCCCTGTGCCTGCGTGGGTTTCCTCCGGATACTCCGGTTTCCTCCCACAATCCAAAGACATGCTGGTAGGTGAATTGGATCCTGTCTAAATTATCCCTAGTATGTGTATGTATGAATGTAAGCTAGGGATCTTAGATTGTACACCCCTTGAGGGTTAGGGACTGATGTGAATGTACAATATATATGTAGTGCTGTGTAAATTGATGGCACTATATAAGTACCTGAAATAAATAATAAATAAAACCCAAAGATAATCCCAGTGACCATCAAGACAAATAGTGCAAAAGGTGTATTACCTTTCTCTTTGATTTAAAGCGCTGGTGTTTAAAAAAAAAAGTCATATAAAATCAAAAAAGTTCATAACAATTTGTGTCCGTTTAAAGCAGAAATGTGCAAAAACTTTTTTATTACTTCATGGATCCATTAAGTAAAGCAAAAAAAAGCTCATAGCATATCTACACTATATTGCCAAAAGTATTGGGACACCCCTCCAAATCATTGGATAAAATCAAGCATCTGGGCATGCAGACTGCTTCTACAAACATTTGTGAAAGAATGGATCGCTCTCAGGCGCTCAGTGAATTCAAGCGTGGTAAATCCAACACAGCAAAACACTTTTCTCCTGCTCTGGGACTGGACCCGGTGGAAACAGTAAGGATGTTCTGAAACATGCACTGCTTGCTGCCCTCAACAGACTGGGGTGGTCCAACTTCACTGAATGCAAAATAGAAAAACATTCTATTTTGAATTCATGCGTGGTACCGTAAAAGCTTGCCACCTGTGCAATAAGTTCATCCGTGAAACTTCCCTGCTACTAAATATACTGTGGTCAACTGTTAGTGGTATTATAACAAAGTGGAAGCAACTGGGAACAACAGCAACACAGCCACCAAGTGGTAGGCCACGTAAAATGACAGAGCGGGGTCATCGCATGCTGAAGCGCACATTGCGCAGAAGTCACCAACTGTCTGCAGAGTCAATAGCTAGAGACCTCCAAACTTCATGTGGTCTTCAGATTAGCACAACAACAGTGCGTAGAGCGTAGAGCAATACAAAGCAGCGTGCCTACATAGTAAAGCACATACAGAAAAAAATAGTAAAACAGCACACAGTTAACCCTTTGATCGCCCCAGATGTTAACCCCTTCCTGCTCAGTGTCATTAGTACAGTGTCAGTGCATTTTATTAGCACTAATCACTGTATTAGTGTCACTGGGCATGTCAGTGGCAGTTAGTAAGCCCCCCCCCCAGTGTCGGAATGCCTGCCGCAGTCCCGCTATAAGTCGTTGATTGCCGCCATTACTAATATAAATTTTTTTTACAAAATTCCAGTATATATACTTTGCCATTTGCAGACGCTACAACTGTCACGTAAACCAATTAATTTACACATATTTGGAATTTTTTAGCAAAGACATGTAGTAGAATACATTTTGGCCTAAATCTATGACGAAATTTGATTTTGTAATTTTTTTTATTGGATATGTTTTATAACAAAAAGTCAAAAGTATTTTTTTTCAAAATTGTCAGTCTTTTTTTGTTTATAGCGCAAAAAATAAAATACGCAGAGGTGATCAAATACCACCAAAAGAAAGCTCCATTTGTGGGAAAAAAGAACATAAATTTCATTTGGGTATAGCGTTGCATAACCGCGCATTTGTCAGTTAAAGTAATGCAGAGCAGTATCGCAAAAAATGGATTGGTCAGGAAGGGGGTTAAATCCTCTGGAGGGCAAGTGGTTAATAGGGGTAGGCTAGAAATAATTGACATACAATGCAGAAATTAATATATGATTTTACATTTTGACCATACACTCTAAACTAGTCCCAGATTTAGTCATTATATGATGCACAAGACTAAAGTAAACACAAAGCTTCTTTTACCTTTCTTGAGTCAAATCCTCCTTTATTTGTGTCTCCCACGCTTCCCTCCTAGACACTGAAGCTGACATTGGTGGGTTTCAACAACAAAGGCAATGTTGTCAATCCAGAAAGTAGTGGGCAGGATTAGGTGTGGCCAGATGTTGATTGACAAGCTACAGGCTTATGAATCAACAGAGACAAAGCTGATAGCCACACCCCCTGCAACATTTTCGCATACTAGTGTAGTGCAAGCAGGAACAGCCTACATGAGAGTGACAACTCTGAATGCAGGAGCAGTGAAGCATTGTTGTTGCACCATCACATGAAGCTGTACTGAGGAAAGCAGTAAGTTCAAATACATGTATAATTAGGTTCTGCAGAATATATTTTTCTTTAATGGAAGGACATAGCTTTACTTTAAGTGTAGTTTCACACTACCCCGCTGCCTTTTTGCTAAAGTGCAGGTAACTTGTGGTATTTGTGCAGGTTAGATGAGCTTTCATTAGTCTTACCTAGTTACATAGTTAGTGAGGTTGAAAAAAGACACTAATCCATCTAGTTCAACCTACAAGAAAAAGATATTGAAAATCCCTATATACACAATCCTTTACCCATAGATGATCCAGAGGAAGGCAAAAAAACCCAGTAAAGCATTATCCAATTCGCTCCAGTGTGGGAATAAAATTCCTTTCTGATACCCAAAGGGGCAATCAGATATTCCCTGGGTCAACTACCCCTGGTGTTATTACCTTTAAATAGTAACCGCCTCCTGCCCACCATATAGCACAATGACGGGTGCAAGGCGGTTCTCTCGTTCTGGGAGGACGTCATATGACGTCCTCCCATTCTCCCCGCGCATGCTCGGCTCTAGGAGCGCGCAGCGATCAGCGGTGCGCCGTGTCCCTCACACCCAGCGGATCACCGATCAATGGAAAGAGCCGAAGATGTCGGCTCGGTCATGTGATCAGCTGTGTCCAATCACAGCTGATCACATGTAAACAGGGAAATGCTGGTTATCGGCATTTCTCTCTCCTCACAAGCTGTCACGCTGACAGCTCGAGAGGAGAGGAGAGCCGGTAATCAGCATTCCTTGGAGGGGACATGTACACTGATCATCAGAGCACTGATGATCAGTGTGCCCTGATGATCAGTGTAGCCCCAGCAGTGCCACATGTCAGTGTCCATCAGTGCCATGTGTCAATGCTCATACATGCCACCTGCCAGTGCCCATCAGTGACACATTTCAGTGCCTACCAGTGCACATCAATGCCACATATCAGTGCCCATCTGAGCGGCCTTTCAGCGTTACCATTCAGTGCCACCTATCAATGCCAGTCAGTGCCACCTATCAGTGCAAGCCAGTGCTGCCTATCAGTGTGCATCAGTGCCCGTCAGTGCTGCCTATCAGTGCCGCCTAACAGTGCCAGGCAGTGCCACCTATCAGTGCCACCTATTAGTGCCGCCTATCAGTGCTGCCTTTCAGTGCCCATCAGTGATGCCTGTCAATGCCACCTACCAGTGCCTCCTCATCAGTGCCCATCAATGCCACCTATCAGTGTCCATCAGTGCAGCCTATCAGTGCCCATCACTACAGCCTCATTAGCGCACATCAATGAAGGAGAAAAATCACTTATTTTCAAAATTTTATAACAGAAACTAAGAAAAAAAATTTTTTTTTTTTAATTTTCAGTGGTTTTTGGTTTGTTTAAGAAAAAAAAAACCCAGAGTTGATTAAATACCACCAAAATAAAGCTCTAACTTTCACAAAAAAAATGATAAAAATTTCATATGGGTACAGTGTTGCATGACCGCGCAATTGTCATTCAAAGTGCAACAGCGCTGAAAGCTGGAAATTGGCCTGGGCATGAAGGGGGTATAAGTGTCCTGTAGGCTAGTGGTTAATATTCAGTTATATTATGTGCATTTAGGATTGCATCCAGGCCTTTTTTTTTTTTAAAACAATCTACTGAGCTGACCAAAACCAACTCCCAATAGAGGAAGTCTATTCCACATTTTCACAGTTTTTACTGTGAAAAAGCCTTTCCGTATGTGGAGGTTAAATCTCTTTTCCTCCAGACTTAAAGAGTACCCCATTGTCCTCTGTAATGACCTGAAAGTGAATAACTGTACACCAAGTTCACTATATGGACCACTTATGTATTTATACATTTTGAGAACTGAGGAAGAGGAAACCACCATCATCCCTATAGCCCATGTTGTGGACTGGACTTACATCCCCTACAGGCGGCATCGCTGGTCAGCATGGACTTATTGCCATCCACAGTCTAATCATTTTATTGTTTTTGTATGTTTCCTACATTGATTTTATGTATTTCCCATTTGTTTTTCCCAATAGTTTCACCCCACTCTGTTTTATTAATAAAGCTTCAAGATTACATTCAATCTGGCTTATTGCAGAATCAGAGGGTTCAGCTGCATGTGAAGTTACACACAGAGAAACGTGTAGTGAGGACAGAATATTGATCATATCCCCCCTTAATATTCTCTTCTCAAGAGAATAAATTCAGTTCAGATACTCCTTCCTCATAGCGGAGCTTCTCCATGCCCCTTATCGTTCTGGTTACCCTTCCCTGCACTCTCCAGTTCTCTGATATCCTTTTTGTGAATTGGTGCCAAAAACTGAATTGCGTATTTCCAGATGAAGACTTTCTAATGATTTGTACAGGGGCAAAATGATGTCTCTCTGTCTCTGCAGTCTATACCTCTTAATACAAGAAAGTGTTTTTCTAGTTTTAGAAACTACAACTTTGAATTGAATGCTATTATTAACCACCACAATACTGGATGCTTTCAAGCCCTTCCTGCCCAGGCCAATTTTCAGATTGCAGTGCACTTTGACTGACAATTACTCAGTCATGCAACACTATACCCAGATTCAATTTTTGTCATTTTTTTTTTGAGACATATAAAGCTTTCTTTTTGTGGTATCAGCACTGGGTTTTTTACTTTTTGCTCTATAAATAAAAAATAAATTTGAAAAAAAAAACACGGAATTCTTAGTTTGTTATAAAATCTTGCAAATAATTGTTCTTAAATTTAGGCCAAATTTTAATCAGCTACATTTCTTTGGTAAAAATAACCAAATCAGTGTATATTATTTAGTCTATGTGAAAGTTATAGAGTCTACAATGGCATATACAGTATATTAGAAACAATACAAATACCTCCAAATGACCCATTTTTGGAAAGCAGACATCTAGAGGGATAGAGATCTTTCTTTGGAAAATGAAAAAAATAAATATGTATTTTTTTCCACAAAATTTAAATTTTAACAAATTATTTTTCACACATAGCATAGGAATACTTGCAATTACACCCAAAAACACATTTTTTTCAGCTACCAAGTAAGGGGATATCACATGTGTGAGATTTTTTTTCACAGCCTAGCCACATAGAGGGGCCCAAAATCCAAGAAGCACTTTGGGCTTTCAAGGAGCATAAATTACACATCCAATTCCCTGACTATCTATCACACGTTTGAAGGCCCTAGAGCACCAGAACAATGACAAAATGATCACATTTTGAAAAGCAAACACCCTGTACGTATGAGACATAATGAGTCTTTAGTACATTGCATTATATAGTGTAATTTTTTGCCAAAAATATTTGAAAATGTGGAAATAAAATGAAAACATGTCTTTTTACACAAAGTTGTCAATTTAACACACAGCATGGACATACTAAGAAACACCCCTCCAAATACATTCTGCTACTCCTCCCAAGTATGTCGATACTACGTGTGAGATTTTTTTGCATGATGCGCACTGGGACACTATTACAGATGTTGTTGTGCACTGAGACACTGTGACAGTTGATGTGTGATACCATTGCAGATGTTCTGAACTGGGACACTGACAGATGTTGATGTTCCACTGGGATACTATTGCAGATGTTCTGAACTGGGACATTGTAACAGATGTTGATGTGCACTGGGACACTGACAGACGTTGACAGTCCACTAGGGACACCGACAGATGTTGATGTTGCAATTGGACACTGACAGATGTTGATGTTGCAATGGGACACTATTGCAGATGTTGATGGGACACTGGTGCGCTGTGACAGATGTTGATGGGACACTGGCACACTGTGACAGATGTTGAAGGTCTACTAGGTACATTGACAGATGTTCACGATCCACTAGGGATGCTGATAGATGTTGATGTTGCAGTGGGACACTATTGCAGATGTTAATGTGCACTGGTACACTATGACAGATGTTTCTGAACACTGGTACACTGTGACAGATGTTGATGGGACACTGGTACACTGACAGATGTTGATGGTATACTGGTACACTATGACAGATGTTTTTGTGCACTGGTACACTGTGACAGATGTTGATTAAACACTGGTACACTGTGAGAGATGTTGATGGAACACTGGTAAAGATGTTGATTGTGCACTTGGAAAAGATTGTGCTTGGTGTACTGTTTACATATGGCTGCACTGTGGGGGATCTGTGTGTAGCTGCACGGTATAATCAGCAGCTATACACAGATCACTGACAGACTGCAGCGATCCGCTCATCACTGAGCTCTCTGTGTGAGAAGAGGGAGAGCCAATACAGAGGCACATGCCTCTGTTTACATTGCGTGATGGCTGTGATCGGATACAGCCATCACATGATCAGGAGGGCCAATCAGAGAGCCCATGTCCTGATCTGTGATGTGCTGGGTCCGAGGGACATAGCCATCACAGAATCACGCTGCTGCATGGCCATGAGGAGTGGGAGGACATACCCATACGTTTACTTAGAATGGTGCTTGTCCCACTTGGCCATTTAGGTGCAGTGGCCAGGTAGGAAGCGGTTAAGTCTATGATGTCCAGATCCTTCTTAGCCATATCTATGAGGTTCTGTGGTTTTGGTGCGGTTTCAGAAAGCTCACCAAAACTCCTGCATGCTGCTTCTTTGCTGAGATTTCTGAAACCGCACCAAAAGCAAGGGATATCATAAAAGTCTATGGGAAAGCCCAAAATGCAGCAAGACCACACAGGGCAGTGTGAAGCTGCCCTAAATCAAATTTGAAGACTAGCACAAGAATCTGGTCACTATATTTTCCAGTATTTGTTATATACTTTGATGCACATATGTTCACTTTAAATTCAGTGATTCATTTTTTTTGTGCATTGAAATGCACAAAACCTGCAAAGCAACCAATAATTTCCTGCAGAGTCTGTGCTAACAAACAAACCATGTGAATTGACCCAACATGCCTCAACTGTGGTACGTGTTTGTATATTCCAATTTAGACAATGGAGGCTGAAGTATAGCATTCCATAAAGCCCAATGTTATTGTAGGATGGTAATGTGATATTCTTTCACATTATGAGCTAACATTTTGCTTAATGTATTCTGAAGTGTTATAATTATTTGTGCATGTACATCTGAACCTCAGCCTTATCTATTTTTTTTTTTCACTTTGAATGTTAATTAAAAAGTGTGCAAAAAAAAAAAGGACAGTGTGGCCTTCTCTTTGTGCCCTTTACAGTTTGTATAATATGCCCACAGACATCAGTACACTAAAATAAAGGGAACAATAACAGATTGACAATTAATAATCCCCATTCTTCATTTAGTAGAAGTGGCTATTTAGAAACGCAGATTAAAGCGGTAATCCATGCATATAATAGAAGAATCACATTTACATACAGAGGTTTCAGAGCCTGATCCCAATATTTGTTCTTCATTTTTCATTTTATAGAAAAAGATTATTAACAAACACGGTAATGAAATGCATTTTGTACCATTTCTCCAAGAGCGTCCAAACCATAAATTGCAAACTGCAAATGGTTTAAAAAGATGTGACTTGTAGGAAATTCTTACATAAATATGAGTGAAACAGTAGATGCTTATTTAAAACGTATGCAAAGGAAATTTGTTTTCTGCAGAAAAACATGTTTTCTATACCTGGGCTGGAACACACTCACATCCAGTACTTATACTGATTTTGTTAGCTGTAACATATACAGTATAGTTACCATATTTCTTCATAACTTCCTGCACAATTATATACTTTTATGGCCAGGCTGCTGATATTCATTGTCACCACAGTACACTGTAAAGCACATTGTGAGAGGAATTTATGAAATCTGGACGAGCTGTGCATGGTATCCAGTCAGCATCTATCTTTTATTTTCAAAGCCTAAAGTCCAGCTCCAGGCAACTATAACAGTATCCCTTGCATTGGGGCTGTGTCTGCATTACAAGGATTAATTGCTCGTTAAGGTCTACAGGAACAAAAAAATGAAGATTTACCTAACTGATATTCTGCTCTTCCCCACTGCTAGACCAGTCCCTACAGCATCTTCTCCACACTCTAGCAGTCTATGATTCTAAGGTCATCAAGACCAAAGCAGGCTCCATAGCCCTGCATTTGATGTGTTGA